CCTCCCCCTCCCACTCCTGACATGAACCGAGGTGGCAGACGGAGGAGGCGGGGAGGAGGAACAGGTGTCTGCTGGAACCGTACCTGCTCACACAGAAGCGCACACAGCCTCCCAGGACCAAGCCTCCGGGGGTCCCTCAAGGCCCACCCCAAGGGCCACCTTCAGCAGGCCCGGGCCAGCTCACCCTGAGCCATGCCTCCCCACACCGACTCGCTCCCCAAAGGGCTGATTTGTGCACAGCCCCAAACCACCATCTGGGCCTGGGCCTGGCAGGCACCCAGGGCTCACCCAGCTCTTGCCACGAGGCAGCGGGCGGGGGAAGGAAGAGGGGGTGTGTGCAGGCAGGGACGGCAGCCTCTGCCCCACAGCCTCCCTCCCAAGGCCAGACAGCCTCAGAGGGCCGCTCTCAGCAGCCTCTCCGCATGGGGAAGCAGACAACGTACCTGGCCACTGGCCACCACCCCCCTCCCCACCCCATTTATCCTGTGAAATATCAACTCCCACTTGCAGGGCTCCGCCCTCTGAAGACCCAACTGGAGGCTTTCCTTGAACTGTCCCCACTGCCTATGCCAGTGAGCATCCCCCACCCCCAGTTCCTTCTTTGGGCCACGATGGTCCCAAACTCGGCCTTCAGGTCTCAGCTCAAAGAGCACCGCTCCTCCAGACAGCACTCTGCACCCTGCCTGAGCCTGGGGCCTGCCGCAGGACCTCCCTCCCTCCGCCGAGCCCCTCTATGATTCCGGCTGCCCCTGTTGTCTGGCTGGGCCAGATGGAAGCTCCGCAAGCCAGAGACTACATCTCTGTATCCGTCACTGCACCTGCGCCTGGCACAGACCGCAGCCTAATTAGGCCTCGCTGAATGCACACAGCCAGCTACACAACCGCCTCCCACACCCAGGCCCCCTCACGCCCCACAAGCCAACAGGTTCCATAATCAGAAATGCAGGGCAGCTTCCGGCGTCCCGGGACAGGAGAGCTCTCCCTGGACGGGCACATCACAGAGCAGCCCTACTCCTGGTCTCTCTCCCGCCCTGAGACCCGCCTGCACCTCAGCTCCACCGGCAGGGGCCAGGCTGCAACCTGGGTGCGGGCCTGCATCCTGGGGGAGGTGGGGCACTGCTGGTCTCCCAGTGTCCGCCACCCACTCAAGCCCTCGTGGCCACGGAGGGGACCTGCAGCAGCTGAGCCCCCGCCCCCGCATTTTCCCCCACGTTGGGGGTCATAGAAGGAAAGGCACCCGATGGGTCCACAGTTACAAAACTACTCTAACCAGCACCATCATGGTCCCAGGCTGGGACTTTTTGGGAGGCCTTAGGAGGAAGGGCACTGAAGTCCCCTGAGACACAGATGGGGACAAGCACTTCCTCTTGCAACCGTGTCACTGCAGCCAGCCCCGTGTGGGCTGCAGGGCTGAACACAGGGCGAGAGAACACAGAGCACACGCTCTGTCATCTGCTGGCAGTGGCTGTCACCAGTGCCAGGCTCCGACGCCCGGAGGGCCGGCCCAGGCCAGCAAGCACTCTGAGCAGAGGCAAGGGAGGATGGAGCCTCGCTGCCCCCCCACCCCTGCCGCCCCTCCAAAACCCCAGCAAAGAGGCCCTGTGACTCCCTCGGGTATAGGAAGAAGGTGAAGGAAGGACAGGACCTTCCTGCTGCTCCACCCACCCAACCTCAACACGCAGGCCATCCCAGCCACAGCAACAGGATGTGTGCAGGGGGGCTGCAGCCTCCCCAGTGGTCCCCCCCAACCTTCCCTCAGGCAGACCGGACTGGCTCCCAGGGTGGGGGCTGGAAGCCAGATTAGGCCGTTCCAAACAGCCCCAACCTGCTCCAGAGGGCAGGACCATGGGTGTGGGGAGAGCAGATGGGGCCCAGGAATGTGGCCTGCTCAGCACAGTCAGGTCTGAGAGGCCAGGCCACAGGACAGAAAGCCTTCTTCTCAAATGCTGGGGCCAGGGTGGGGACATCAAGAGGGATCCAGCCTCTCCTGCCTGATAGATGTGCACTCAGCCACCTGGTCAAGAGTGTCTCCTGTCCTCAAAGACACACCCTGGCACTGGCCATGGTGTGTACATCACCTAACCATGGTCAGGCCCCCCCCCCAGCCCAGAAGCTGGGCAAGGGTGATCTGTCTGGCCCCCCAAGTGTCCCCAGAGCTGGCCCAGGGTGCAGAAGGTGCTAACTCCTTAGTGAAGGAGCTCCCCCAACTCACCAGGGGAGAGGTCTGCACTGAAAGTTGGGGTCCCATCCCGCCCTCCCTGTGCTCCTGCCTGGAGAGGTTCACCAGATGGTAACTATAAAACCAGATGCTCCCTCAGGCAGGGCTCCTGTACCCAGGCCCTGCACCCACCAGCTCCAGACAGGATGTCTAAGTCCAGGCCAAGGACAAGACATCCCCCACTCCTACCCCCTCCACTGAACCCAGAAGACCCCGCATCCCTGTCCTGACGTCCTAGGCCTGCCAGCACACAGGGTCCCCCACCTCCAGCAGCCCTGCCGACTATGCCAGTGCCTATGGTGTCCTCACACCTGCTGCTCATCACTAGACATCCATCATTTCCTGGAGCCTCCTGCGTGAACAGCTTCACATGCGTGTCCACCTCCTGCTCGTGGCAGCCTGGGAGGTCTGTGTGACTCATTCCAACTCCAGATGAAAAAGCTGAGGTGCAGAGAGCTGGAAGACTGGCCCAAGGTCAAGAGCTATCAAGTGGCAAAGCAGGTACCACTGGCTCCCCCATGTAGTGTTTCTCTGCTTCAGGCTTCCTGCCACCACCTGGCTCTGCCCCCGGCCCTATGGCTAGGGTCCTAGCCTGTGGGCTTCCTTCTCACAGGATGGAGGAGTCCTGCCAACGCAGGCCCTGAGGCTGGGTGGCCAGTCGGCAAGTGACCAGCTCCAGCCCTGGAAGGCAGCAGTTAGGGCGGGCTCCATGGCTTTCACCCCTACTAGGTGACAGTCTGGGACTCCTTCTTGATGCTAAGGGAGGCAGCCTTCTCCCCTGTCTGTACCAGAAGCCACAAATACCAGGGGTGCCCACCCTGAGTGTCACAGCCAGCTTGCCATGGAGCCCACCCACGCTGCATCTCACCTCCTTAATTCACCCTCAATCCCCCACTCCTGCAGCTACCACCTGGCCTCGGCCTGTGGTCTCTGCCTCCCCAGACCCTTCCCACATCACTCCTGCATCAGCCTCCAAGCCCACTCTGTTCACACAGCTCCAAACAGGCCCCTCACACCGGGCAGCCCCTGGGCCAGCCTGGTTTCCCTGAATCCCATGCATCCCTCTGCTCCAGGCGGCATGGCCTCCTCGCTGCCCCCCACATGCACCGTGGGACAGACGGTTCTTCCTCTGTGGGCCTGTACAACAACACCGAGTGTGAGCCTGCCACATGCAGACTGGGAGGCAAAGATGACTGGCTCTTGCTGCAAAACCTCCCCGTCTAGAGGAAGACACGCTTGTGACTGAGGGTGTCAGGGGACGGACCCTTGGACAGACAGGAGCAGAAGAGAGGAGCGAGTCCTACGAGGGCACGCAGGAGGGTCTGGAGTGTGCAGGATCCGGCAGGTAGTCTCAGCAAGAAAGGCAAAGAGGAGAGAAAGTCTGGGTCCTGGGTGATGAGTATGCCAACCGGGCTGACCACACAGGCTCCCCTAAGGGCATGCGCTGCCCCCCTGCCACTGGGATCTGAGCCCACAGCTTGCTGCTGGGTTTGCCTCTGTGGTAGCTCAGGCCAGGCAATCAAGCTCTGTGCTCGACTCCACTTTACGGACGAGGGAGAGAGCAAGGAAACCGTGGTGGGCTGCTGGAGGAAGAAATGAGATCATGCACAAAGGGCTGTGCAGGGCCTGACACACGGAACGCGCTCCCCAACCCACCGTCTCCATGATTGCTGCTGATGTCATGGTCAGGCTGTTTGCTCCTACCCCCGGGCTCAAGGGCCCTCAGACACAGGCGCTGACCCAAGAGGTGGACCTCCTGGACGTCGACTTGACGCAGCGGTCCCCCACCCAGGGCTTGGCCTGCAGGCATGAGGACCGCGGGTGGCCTGCCAGGAACGCTGGTCCCTCTTCTCGCACTTCCTACCCGTCGCGGCTCAAACATCACTTCTGCCCGCCCATCTTCTGCATCCCTAAGCCTCCTGGCCTGAGACACCCCACCTGACCCCGGGGGGTCAGAGGAGGGCTTGCGAGCCAAGGATCCGTGTCCGGGAGGGCAGCTGGCGGCCGAGCAGAGGGCACATCCCGCCCCGTGGGAGCCCGAGGCCGAGCCCTCCCGGACCCTCCCGCCCCCCGGGGCCCCGCCAATGCTCAGCCAGACCCCGTTCTGGCCCCAGGGTGGCGGGCAGGTCGGGCTCGCCGGGTCGCGCTGCCCCGCTGTCCTCAGAGGTCGCCCCCGGCCCCGGGTCTCCGACCCCGACCGCGACCCCCGACCCCGGCCGCGACCCCGGCCCCCGACTGGTGCCCCAGACGACCCTCGCGCCGGCCCGGCGGCCGCGGCCCGCCCGCCCCGCGTGTCCCCGCGCCCGCCCGCCGCCCCGGCTGACCCCTGCCCGCCCTGGGGCCCCGGCCCTCCGCCCTCAGCCGCGGGCCCGGCACTCACCGCGCGGGTGCGGCCCGAACGCCACCAGCACGAAGTAGTCCGCGAGCCGCGCCATGGCGAGGTGCGCGGGCGGGCTCCGCGGCTCGGGGACGCGAGGGCGGCGCGCTCATGGCCCGGCCTCGGCCCTGGTCCGCGCTCCCCGGACAACCCGGGCCCGCTCCGCCGCGGCGGCCAGAGCTCCCGCCGCCATCTTCCCAGCCAGCCGGCCCGCCCGGCTGCGCCGTGCGCTTGCGCGGCCTCTCCCCGCCCCCGCCATGGGCGGGGCCCGCAGCTACGCGCTCCCATTGGTCGGCTCGGCGCGGGCTCGGTGCCCGGGGGCGGGGCTCCGCCCGGCCCCGCCCCCCAGGCGCTGACATTGACGGCGGCTCGCGCGGGTCAGCGGCTGGCGTGGCGCGGGTGGGAGCGGGCCCGGGGCTCGGCGCTCGGAAGCCCCATCGGGCGGAGTGAAGCCTCGAGCGCACGCCCTCCGCGGAAAGCGGCGGCAAGGCGGGGGCACCGGGCGCGGGATGGAGGAGACGCCCACGCCCCGGGCGCTCGAGCCCCCGCAGCCGGCCGCGGAGCGAACAGCGGGTGGGGGGAGCGGGAGCCGCCGGCCCGGGAGCGCACGGGGTCACACGGGGTCACACCCGAGGCCCCCGAGCTGTGGCGCCCGGGGCCGGAGGACACCCCACCCAGCGGGGGTCGGGGAGGCAGCAAGGGCGCTGGGAACTACGCCGGGAGCCCGGGTCCAGGCATCTCCCTGGGGCTCATTTACCTCCGCTTGCCTGGGTTACAAACTCGCAGAGACAAGGCACTTTGATTTGATTTTTCTTTATTGGAGGGTTGGGTGGTACCATCACCCTTGAGTTTGGGGAAGAGGACACTGGCGACAGTGTTGGGGCAGGTTGGGGGGCGGGTCCGGCTGCCCGGGGCCTCTGCCCACCCCTCCCTCGCTGTCCCTCCAGAGCTGGCCTGCTGCCTCCATCCTCACCGCAGTGTCTGGTGGAGTCTGTGACGCTCCCACGCGTGTTCCAGGTCGGCCCTCTCCAGCCCCAGGCCCACGAGGCTACAGGGCAGCCTGACACCTCTGCCAGGAAGACCGCAGGCGCCCAAACCCACCCTCGCTAGTGGCTCCCATATCGGCCACCAGAAGAGCTGACCTCGTCGCCCGCCCCCAGGGTAACTCAGGCTCTGTCCCCCCAGGCCGCCCCTCCTGCCCCGTGGCACCTTTCTACCGTGAATGTCATGGCTTCGCGCTCCCTCCTCCCCAAGCTGGAAAAAATAAATCAATGACTAGAAACCGGGAGGGCTGCTGCTGCCTCCCTGCCCGCCTCCGGACACGAACCAGGGTCCTCCACGGGCCGGCGCTCAACACTAGTCGACTTACTCACACCGCGAGTGTTTGTTGAGCTCCCACGGTGTGTGCAGCCAGAGGAACAGAGAGCAGGCAGGTCCCCCATGCTGACGGGGCCTGAGGTGGCAGAGGAAACGTTGGCGGATGCAGAGCTGTCCCCGCGCAGATCCCCAAGCCCCAAGGGACCACTGACACCAAGCCCATACCGTTGGGCGTGGGCTGGCAAGGGCTCCGCGGGCCACTTGGCGCTCTGTCCACATGCACCCGTCCACTCCAACCGGGATTTCCACTTCTAGGAAAGTCCCTGCTTCTCTGAGCTCACACGGAAAGGTTCTTGCTCTTGGAAAGACTGGAAATCGCCTAATTGCTCATAAGTAAAAGATCAATTTACAAGTTACAGAACACATGTGTGTCGGAGTGGGGCCATGCACAGGGAGAGCAGAGGTCTCTGTCTTCACATGTTTTTACTCCAGTGCGCAGGTGTGATGCACACCCCCCTCCACCTTCCCCAGGTGAGATACACATGCCCCTCCACGTGCCATAGGTGAGATACACACCCCCTCCACCTGCCCCAGGTACGATGCACACACATCCCCTCCACCTCCCCCAGGTGCGATGCACACACCCCTTCACCTGCCCCAGGTGCGATGCACACACACACCCCTCCACCTGCCCCAGGTGAGATACACACCCCCTCCACCTGCCCCAGGTGCGATGCACATGCCCCTCCACCTGCCCCAAGTGCGATGCACACACACCCTCTCCACCTGCCCCAGGTGAGATATGCTGCTGCACAAGAGCAAGTCAGGAGGGGGTGCCCACCTGGAAAGATTCGTGGTGGGTGGTAATTGAGAGCTCTCACTTTTTACTTAAATTTCTCAGAGGGATCCCTGGGTGGCGCAGCGGTTTGGCGCCTGCCTTTGGCCCAGGGCGCGATCCTGGAAACCCGGGATCGAATCCCACGTCGGGCTCCCGGTGCATGGAGCCTGCTTCTCCCTCTGCCTATGTCTCTGCCTTGTCTCTGCCTCTCTCTGTATGACTATCATAAATAAATAATTAAAAAAAAAAAAAGAAAACGTGTTTAAAAAATAAATAAATAAATTTCTCAGAAAGTCCTCATGATCCCTCAGTCTCGGGGAAGAGAGGGCAGAGACGGGCCCTGGGGGAAGGGTCTCTGGATCACCGTAGTGAGGAGCTGAGCAGCTAGCCTGTGGCGGTGGGCATTCCGGCCAGACCCGCCCAGGCCGCTCATGGGGCAGACACCTGGGGGAGGGACCAGCCTGGCCGACGCGCCCCCAACACCTGCCCCCTCAGCCTGGAACGTTCCCAGGCCCCCCGGAAGGCGCCAGAGGTGGGGCGTGCGGCTGGGAGCCGCTAGGGCCAGAGGGTTGGGGGGGGGGGCTCCCAGTGGGCTGCCCTGTGACGGCTGCCTCCGCGCTACCGGGCTGGGCCAGAGTAGGGAGCAGGAGGGCGGGCTCCCGCCCGGCTGGGGCATCCGGCTCCGCCTCCTCCTGGAAGGACTATTTAGCTCTGGAGGTGCTGAGGTCAGTCCCCTAGCAGGACCCCCGACCTAGCGCAGGCAGCACTGGACTAAGGAGGCTCCTGGCCCAGCCCGCCACCGCTTCTCCCCTGAGACTGGCTGGCCTGCAGACGGACGGACGGACGGACAGACATAGGTATGAGCTTGCCTGCCCCGGGCTGACCACCAGGGCTTCCCAGTGTGCCGGGAGAGGGCTGGCTGCAGGTGAGGGCCGCGGTCCCCACACCTGCCTGGCTCCCTCCCCGCAGCCCCGCCTGCCATGGCCTGGCTCCTGACCGGCACCCTTGGTTGCATCAGCCTCCTCTACCTGCTGCTCCCGGGCACCCTGTCCCGCAGCCTGGGCGGGAGCCAGCGGCCTGCCCTCCCCAGGTGAGCAGGGTTCACAGCTACCCACACCTTGGCCCACAGGGAGGCGTCCCCCCAACATTCCCCAGCACTGGGGCCCCCTCCACCTGCTGCTAGGGCTTTCCTCCTAAATCAAGGGCCCATGTAGGCCTTCAAATCCTGAGGGGGGGCAAGCAGCCCCTCCTCCTTTGTCTCCCCCCCAAGGACACTTCCCTCATCCCCCACCCCCCTGTTGGTAGAGCCATCCCCTCAAGGAGGGAGAGGTCAGCCAGGAGAGGGAGGTGGAGGGATGCCCAGGACTGCCCACCTCTCCCACCCAGGGGAAGGGGGAGCATGCGGGTTGTGAGCATAGTGATCCACGGGGGGCCAGTGGCACCCTTTGCCCTGGGAGGTTCAGGTGAATGGACATGGGACCTGGGCTGCCGAGGTGGCTGAGGGCCAGGACCCAAGCCCGGGGCTCAGAAGGCGCCGTGGGCTTCCCCTGGCAGGGCTCCAGGGCTCTGGGGAAACCGGGCTTCCCCTGCCGGTGACCCCATGCCTCTGTGGGAGGGAGAGTGGCTGGGCTTGAGGAGGTCCCTGAAAGGTTGGGCCACCAGGTTTCCTTCCTTCCCCCCCTCCCCGCAGGGAGCCCCCAGCCCATGCCCCTTCCAGCAGCCTGAAGCCTCCATCCCCTGTGCCTCAGCCTGTGGACTGGAAGCTACAGCAGGCCCTCCAGCCTCCGCGGCGCGCCAGCCGAGCCCCTGCCACGGGTCAGCCTCTCCGGGATGGTGCCCACCGACGCCGGGGCCCCCACAGGTCCCGAGCCCAGCTCCTGCGGGTGGGCTGTGTGCTGGGCACCTGCCAGGTCCAGAACCTTAGCCACCGCCTATGGCAGCTGGTGGGGTCAGCCGGCCCACGGAACGCAGCCCCCGTGGACCCCAGCAGCCCCTACAGCTACGGCTGAGGCGGAGCGGCCCGTCCCAGCCGGGATGCTGCACCTTGATCCTGGAGCCCCCACCTGGCCCCCCGGACCTCCTGCAAACAGCAGTCCCCTGAAGAGCTGGCGACCCCCGAGGTGCCCCCTGCCCTACCCCGCACCCACCAGGTTCCGTGGCTAGCACCGCAGCCCAAGCAGGTCCACAAGCAGTCTGGGCTCCCGAAAAGGCTTCGGGGGCCAGGCCTCCCCAAGACATGGGGAGACCAGGGCCAAGCAGGCACACCCGGCCCTCCCCACTGGGCCTGACCCCATCAGACTGAGCCCCGCTTGGCCTGTCCCGGGGCCCCAGCCTTCCCACCCCCGTGCCCTTGAGTCTGTGAGGGCAGCAGGCAGGGGGACCCCACGGCGGTCCCCATCCCCGGAGCCGGCATGAGGGAGGGCAGGCCACGCCGGGAACTGTTGCTCCAGTCGCCAACTCTGGAGGCTGAGGTCAGGGTCCAAATGGGGACCCCTCCCTGGATCTCCAGGCAACACAGGGGAGCCTGGGAGGGGGCACACGGGGCACAGGGGGTGGGAGCAAGATCTCCCAGCCCAAACAGGTCAATGACGTCACAGCCACCACCACCTCAAGTGGCTGGATGCCAAGCGAGGGTGGGGGCACCTCAGGCCTCCCAGTCTCCGTGAGCCCACCCTGCCCCGCCTGGGGACCCACGGAGGCGGCAGGCTTATGGAGAGTTAGGGAGGCAGATGGTCCTTTAAAGGTTAGAACGAGCTCTCGGGCCAGTTCTGCTGTGTGTCCACCCTGGGTGGGTCCTTCCCATGCGGGGCGTCCCTGGGGACTGTGCTCCCCACCCCAGCCACACAAGGCACAGCCCAGCCTCCAGAAAGGTGGTGCCTCGTTCATGGCAAACAGTGATAAGTGCTCCTCTGCCAACATCTCCACCACCCGTGAGGTCAGCACTATCACTACCCCAGTCGAGGAGCAGAAGCCACGGCCACGGAGGTCAGGTGAGCTCCTCCTGCTGCCAGCGCAGCATCCACCCGTGGGACCCCCGGCATGGGAGTCTCCTGGAGAAGCCCATCTGGGCTCCCACCCAGTGTCTGCTCTTCTAGCTGGGGTCCCGCCTGGCCAGGTAAGGTCCTGCCCTCCCTTAGGCCCCGTGGGGACAGGTGAGGCTGCTTCCTGAGCTCAGGCGAGGGCAGTCAGTTGGTGTGAGAAAGGCTGCCTGGCGAGCAGAGATCTGAGGATGGCCAGGCGCTGGCAGTGCCAGGACCCCACATCCACAGGGGGTGGCAGGGAGGCCCCTGAAAAGCAGCTAAGAGGCTGGAACTGGTGTGAGTACCCGTGGCAGAGGGGCCAGGGGCCTGTGGTCACCGCAGGGTGTCAGCAGGGCAGTGAGGAGGTGGGAGGGGGAGCCAGAAAGAGGAGCGGTCTAGGAGGGTCAAACCCAGAGAGTCAGGAGAACCATGTGGCCAGGTGCCCCACTCCCACCCCCACCCAGCACCCAGTCCTGGACCCGTGCGCGCTCATTCTCCGTGTAGAGTGCCCCTCCTCCAGGGTCAGAGCAGCCAGCCCCCAGGACACCCTGTCCTCACTGAGGCTCTCCACAAGGTTGCAGGTGACAGACTGTTGAGCTCCAAGCATCCCTGCACTGTGACACGTGGTCACAGCATCTGACCTGCTGTCCGCCTGGCCCCTGAGCTCCCAGCCACTTGGGGCACTGACTTGGTGCCCACCCGGACTGGTGGCGGCAGCCCCCGAGCAGCCCCAGGGCCCCAGCAGCCGTCTGTCTGCCTCTCCCCATCGCCCCAGACAGTTGGCTGGTCGTTGACTACTTCTACTCTAAGCCACCACCTGCTTTGGGGTGACAGCTCAGTCCCCTCCCCGGGGCCCCCACCCTTCCTCAGCCAACACTTGCCCGGCTGCGGGAGGCACCAGCAAACAGCCCCCTCCCCACGGCCACAGCCACAGTAGGAGGAGACCCAGGGAAACTACCTCCTTGGGAGCGAAGCAAACGACACCCCATGACTCCCCATGTATCAGGACAACAGGTGGCACTTTGAAGGGGTCCCCGTGCTCCCCAGCTTGTTGTCAGCACAGCCAGGAGCAGCCCCCTAGCCTTCTCGCCCAGTAAAGCTGAGTAGGGGCTCCGGCCTGCATGCCGGGTCAGCCACTGCCCTGCGTCCCCCCTGCCGCCTCCCTGCCCTGACCTCCCTGTCCTGACCATATTCTGACCGCTCCCCCCGCCCCGCCGTCTTCCTGACATACCACAAGGACTGGTTCTGCTCCCAGTCAGCATCCTTCCCTCAGAGAAGGTCAGGTCCCCGCTGTGTGTGCCCACCCCGGCCTGTTCCACGCTCTGCCCTGACCCCAACGGAGCCCTCGCCTCCAAATCCAGACACAGGGCGCCCTCTTGACCCAGTGGCAGCCAGGCTGCTCCACAGGGCCTCACCCAGTGTTAGCAAGGATACCCCCTCCTCGGTATCTGCCCCTAGTGACTTCCCGTCCACGGACCCCACTCTGCTTCCTGGCAGCGGCCCGGCTGGATTCTCTCTCCCCTGTTTCAATAGTCGTGAATAAAGTCTTTCACCTTCATTTAGCGAGGCTCAGAATAACTTTTCCTAAAAGCCCCTGCCCTTCGTGGAATCCGGGAAGCCTGAGGCTGATGGGTGTGGCCTGGGGTCTGCACACCTGTTGGGAGGGGCCTGCTGTGGGTGGGGAGGAGACCGGAGGAGAGGGGAGGTGCGAGCAGGGAGGGGCAGGAAGGAGAGGGGGAGAGCTGGAGGCTGGGGGACAGGCTGCAGCCTCCAAGTCCCAATCAGGTAGGTGTCTCAGGGAGCTGAAGTCAGGGAGGGGGGTCGGGGCCAGGGCGCTGGGAGCTGCTCCTGTGCTGACACATTAACTCCCGAGGCCAGGAGGACGGTGGATGGTCACTCATTACCAAGGGCCAAGGCCAAAGGGCAAGGTGGCGGCTGGTCCCTTATGTAACCTGTGGGCATATATAGGGGCACAGCCTGAGAGCCTCTTCCCACTGCCAGCTGCTCCCTCGAGATGAAGGTGGCTGTGGTGAGTACGCCAGGCCCAGAGGAGACACAGCCGGCGTCCCTCGTGGGAAGGAGTGGCCGCCCCCACCCTGTCCCCGCTGGTTCCCGCCAGTCCACTGGCCCCGGTCAAAGGGCTCCCTCCCTCTGTCTTCCTCTGCTGGTTTAGGCTTAGCAGGGGCAAGGGTCAGCAGCCCCACCCCTGGGCCCCCTGCAGACCCGGGGGCTGCTGCCAGGCGCTCCCACTCAGCATCCTGCACACCCCAGCGTCACCCCGATTGGGCATCTGGCTGACCCCCCGAGCCAGCTTGTCTCCGGTGGTGCCTGCGCTCTGGAGGGTCCGTGCCCCGCCGTGCCCCAACCTCGCTGCTGACCCCCAGTCAGGCTCCGGTGTCCCCAGGGGGACGTCCTCACTTCCCCGTGGGGCCGGCATCCCCGCAAAATGGGTTTAATCCTCCACCCAACCAGGGCCCAGACCCTTCCCTGGTCTACCGGCCAGACATGGACCCAGAGAAAGCCAAAGACAAGGGCAGCTTCCGAAACTATGAGGTAAGGACGCTCCCCGGGCTGGGCTCACCCCCCACCCCATCTTCCCTGGGGGGGGGGCAGCACCTGCCCCTTTGCACAGCTGGGGGCCCAGCCAGGGAGGCTGGAGCAGCGGCCCTAGCGGGGCCCCGCAAGCTTCCTGGCGGCCCCTCTGGTTTGCAGGCTGGCCCGCTCCTGGACCAGGTCTTCGCCACCTACAAGCTCATGCACACCTATCAGACAGTGGACTTCGTCAGGAAGAAGGTACTTGGCAGCTTCCTGGGCTGCCCATCCCCGCGGCCCCCAGCGGGACGGCTGGATTGGGCCCGGGTCTGACCCAGCCAAGCCCATGGCCATGCTGCCCCCCCTTCCGGCCCTAGCACATCCAGTTTGGGGGCTTCTCCTACAAGAAGATGACTGTCCTGGAGGCTGTGGACATGCTGGACGAGCTGGTGGACGAGTCGGACCCGGATGTGGACTTCCCCAATTCCTACCATGCCTTCCAGACAGCCGAGGGCATCCGGAAAGCCCACCCTGACAAGGGTGTGTCTCCCTCCTCCCCCGCCCCCGGGGTGGGGTGGGCTGCGTTGGGTGGGTGGGAAGAGGGGTCTGTGCCCTTTCCTGGCCTCACCCTTGAGCCCCAGGCCGGGGACCACCCTGACAAGGTTGTGTCTCCCTCCGCCCCCACCCCCAGGGTGGGGTGGGCTGCGGTGGGTGGGAAGAGGGGTCTGTGCCCTTTCCTGGCCTCACCCTTGAGCCCCAGGCCACCCCTCCCCGGCCCTCGTCTCCCACCCGCTCTAGCTGGCTCTGTCCCTGTCCCTCCCAGACTGGTTCCACCTCGTGGGGCTGCTGCATGACCTGGGGAAGGTCCTGGTTCTGGCAGGGGAGCCGCAGGTAAGGGCAGGGGGGTGCCCGGGTGATGCTGGGGCAGCCCAGGCTGCGGGCTCTGGAACCCGCCGGGCTGGGGAGGGGAGGCAGGCCAGTCACCCCCTCCACGGCTGCATGTCCCCAGTGGGCCGTCGTTGGAGACACCTTCCCGGTCGGCTGCCGGCCGCAGGCCTCTGTGGTTTTCCGTGAATCTACCTTCCAGGACAACCCGGACCTCCAGGATCCTCGATACAGGTGCCCCCCCCCCCCACCAGCCACTGGTCCCCCTGTCCCACGGGCTCCCAAGCCCCTCACCCCCTTCTCTCTCCCTGCAGCACGGAGCTCGGCATGTACCAGCCTCACTGCGGGCTGGAGAACGTCCTCATGTCCTGGGGCCACGACGGTGAGGCTGCTGGTGGGCGGGTGTGGGCGGGAGGAGACAGGACCCTGGGGCCTGGCTCTGGGCGCCTGATGGTGACCCCCTGTCTCCCACAGAATACATGTACCAGGTGATGAAGTTCAACAAATTCGCTCTTCCCCCGGAGGTAGGTGGGAGTGGGGGGGGGGGGGTCAGCCGGCCTGCCCCCACCTGAGAGCATGCCCCGAGTGCCATGCTCCTGCCCTCAGGCCTTCTACATGATTCGCTTCCACTCCTTCTACCCTTGGCACACGGGCGGCGACTACTGGCAGCTGTGCAGTGAGCTCGACCTGACCATGCTCCCCTGGGTGCAGGAGTTTAGGTAGGGCCAGCCCTGGGGGGCTGGGGTGGGAGGAGGGCCTGGGGGCCCCGGGGGCCTCCTCACCACACCACCCCCCTCCTGCCGCAGCAAATTTGACCTGTACACCAAGTGTCCCGAGCTGCCAGACGTGGCCACGCTGCGGCCCTATTACCAGGGCCTCATCGACAAGTACTGCCCAGGGGTCCTGAGCTGGTGACCAGCCTGTGCTGCCCCCACCCCTGCCCTCACCCCACCCAGGCCTGCCCAGTCTGCCCAGTGCCCCGCTCCACCTGCACACCCACAGCCAGCGCCCCCCCCCCCCCCCCCGCCTGACCGCTCTGCTCACTGCCAATAAAGACCTTGCAGCATCTCGTGAGTGTGGGCTCCATGCTGCCCCCGCCGCCCCCGCCCCCCGCCCTGCTGATCGCCCTTCCAGCTCCATCGTCACTTCCTGGGGTTGACTGTCCATCCTCACCTTGGTGATGTCGGCAAGCGCTCTGGGCCCAGTGTCCTTAAGAAAACAAGATGAAGCAAAACATTCGGTAGCTAGAAAAACAGGTTACGGAGAACCTCGTGGTGCGAGGGGCGGTCAAGGGCAGTGAAGGCAGGCAAGAGGATTCTCCCCGCCCCCACGGGGCCCCTGGGCGGCCGAGCCTCCTCAGTGAGCGGTTTCAGGTTTCGCCCCCGCCCCAGGGCTGGTGCTGGCTCCCTCCCTCCCTCCTAGCAGCTCATTTCTCGGAAGAAAGTGGATCCTTGTCTCAGGGACTTTCCCTCTGTTGGTGTTTTGCTGGCGGCGTCCCCGCGGAGTCTGGGGTTCTGGGTGGCCCCGTTCACTGGTATCCCCGAGAGGCACCCTGAGATTGGGTCCCGGCGGGCGGGCGCAGGAGGGCCTGGAGGCCGCAGGTGCCTGTGTTCTGATAGCCACCGCGCTCGGATTAGAGCCCGAGGCGGTCCGCCTGGTCAGGGCGCGGCCCCCAGCTCCCCGACGGGCTCCCCGACGGAGAGCAGTGCCCGGTGGTCCGTGTCTGAGGGCCTCGGCTCAGCTCCCCGGAGGCGGGCAGTGCTCCGATTCGGTGCGAGAGTGTGCGGATTTTGGCCTATTGGGGCTGCGGCCCAGGAGTCACCCCCATGGCCAGGGTTGGGGTAGAGCTTCAGGAGGGTCCGCTCTGCCCGCTGCTGCGACAGGACAGGCTGTGTTAGGTCCCTGCATTTCTGTGACAAATTACCGCAAATTTGGCGGTTTGAAACAAAACCTGATTCTCCTGAGTCGCGGCAGCCAGAGGCTGAGATGGTGGCAAGTGCTCGGCAGGGCTGCCATTCCGCACAGGCTCCAGGGACGATCCGCCCGCGCTGGTGCCCCACGCGTGGCTCGCTCCCTCAGGACCCGTCTGCGTGACCCAGGGGGATCCCCTCATCCCAGGATCCTGACCTTGGTCACATCTGCAGGACGCCTTTTTAAGGCATTACATTCACAAGTTCCAGGGATTTGATGAGGATGTGTTTTGGGGGGGTTGTTCTCAAGCGCCCTGGGAGCTTCCCTTCCCTGCTCAGAGGACGGGGACACCCGGAGGAGTCAGGGGGCTCTGGGTTGGTGGGCGGCAGGTTCAAGAAGCAAGGGAGCATCCACAGGGGCGGCCCCGAGGCAAGCAGATCTTTGCATTTGCTGCTAGAACCTTAAAAGTTTGGGGGCGCTGGGCTGGCTCCATCGTAGAGCCTGTGGCTCTTGTAGCTCGTAGTCTCGGGGCCCTGAGTGTGAGCCCCCCTCCCACCAGGTGTAGAGAGCACTTAAACAAGGAGCATCTTACACAGAGGCCCCTAGGGGGTCCAGGCACCGTCCAAGGGGTCCCCTGCCCTTTCATATTCACAGACTTAGTGTTCAGTGCTCACCTGCCCATGCCCCCGCCGCCCCCCTGCCCTGCTCCGTCTTCCAGGTCACTTGTCCTTCCTTCTGGAAACTTGCTTCCTCCCTGGGCAGCCCCTCCACACTCCCTCCCAGCCGGTGGGCTGAGGCTGGGCAGGTACACGGGGCTGGGGGGTGGTCCCTCCCTAGAGCTGCTTCACGGGGTGCTGGGGGCCACTGTGGAGGCCAGAAGTACGGATCCGGGGAAAGGGCCGTGGAGGGTGAGCCGAGGCCCCTCTGCCGGCTCGGAGGTGGCTGGCATGAGAAAGGGGGCTCAGTGCGCTGCTTCTCTGGGCCCCAAGTCAGCATCCTGGGCCCAGCCTGGGGAGCCTCCCCACGGACACAGCAAGAGGGGCCATGTTGGCTCCTGTCCCAGGGTCCCCAGGCCCTCTCCAGTCTCCAGGCCACCTCACACGGCCCCGAAGCCAATGGCCCCATAGTCTCTCCCTGCCAAGGCACAGTCAGGCCTCACTGGGCTCCAGGGCTTTGGGGCAGCTGAGGAGCCTGCGGATGGGAGTGGGCTGCCCCTCTGCAGACGCCCCCCCGGCCCCCGCCCCCGGCCTCATCCACCTTGGTCGAGGCTGAGGCCCGGGCTCAGCCTGCCGGTGCCCTTCCAGCCAGGCGCTTCTGAGCCGTCAGCTCCCCCTGAGCTGTGGGCCACAGGCAGCACCCTGCAGGGGCTCGCTCGTTCTGGGGCCGCTGGAGGCGGACAGTTGGACAGCCTGGAGCGTCCAGCCCGCGGGAGCCCAGGGCTAATGAACAGCCTTTGCTGCTCTGGGGGTGGGGGACCCCAGGAAGTCAGGGACAGCAGAGGCAGGATGGCCCTGGGAACAATGACAGGGCGGCGGGCGGGTCCCTTGGTAGGTAGTGTGCGCCACTCTTGGTCTCGGGTGGGGAGTTCCAGCCCCACAGTGGGGGGCAGTTCACCTGGGGGAGAAACCAAACCAAACCGACCTATGTCACTCTTCTCGCTGAAACAGGTAGTGAGTTTATTTTTATAGTTAAATAGAATTAATGAGTAAATATTTAGGGAAATCTCTCAGCTTAATTTTCCAGGTGGTAATTTTTTTTTTAAGATTTTATTTATTCCTGAGAGACACACAGAGAGAGGCAGAGATACAGGCAGAGGGAGAAGCAGGCTCCATGCGGGGAGCCCGATGCAGGACTCGATCCCGGGACCCTGGGATCACACCCTGAGTTGAAGGCAGATGCTCAACCACTGAACCACCTGGGGGTCCCTGGCCAGTTGATTTTTGACAAGGTTGCCGAGACCATTCAATGGGAAAAGCACTGTCTTTTCAATAAATTGTTCTGAGAAAACCAGGCATCCACGTGCCGAAGAATGTTGCCGGATGCCTACCTCACACCATATGCAAAAATTAACTTGAAAAGGACCAAAGACCTAAGCTATGAAACTCTTGGGGGAAATCTTCATGGCTTTGGATTTAGCAATGATTTTTTTGCTATGACACCAAAAATGCAAGCAAGAAAAGAAAAAAATAGGTAAATCGGACTTCATAAAAATGAAAACCTTCTGCACACTGAAGAACACCGTGAAGGGGGTGAACAGGCAATCTGCAGATGGTAAAACATTCACAAATCCTATATTGATGAGAGATTCGTATCCAGAATATATATGAGCTACGGCTCATTAACAAAAACCAAACAATTGATTAAAAAAAAAGACAAAAAAATAATAAAAAATTAAAAAATAGGCAAAAGACCTGAATAGACAGGTCTTCAAAGATACACAAATGGCAGGCAGTTTAGCGCCGGGTGGCTCAGCGGTTTAGCGCTGCCTTCAGCCCAGGGCCTGACCCTGGAGACCCGGGATCGAGTCCCACATCGGGCTCCCTGCATGGAGCCTGCTTCTCCCTCTGCCTGTGTCTCTGCCTCTCTCTCTCTCTCTCTCTCTCTGTCTCACCGTGTTTCTCATGAATGAATAAATAAAATCTTAAAAAAAAAAGATACACAAATGGCCAAAAAGCACACGAAGATGCCCAACATCATCAGTCATTAGGCAAAGGCACAATCAAAACCACCACGAGACACCATTTCATACCCATTAGGATGATTATTACAAAAGAAAGGGAGGGATCCCTGAATGGCTCAGCGGTTTCACGTCTGCCTTTGGCCCAGGGCGTGATCCTGGAGTCCTGGGATTGAGTCTCCCATCAGGCTCCCTGCATGGAGCCTGCTTCTCCCTCTGCCTGTGTCTCTGCCTCTCTCATAAATAAATAAAAATAAAAAAAATCTTAAAAAAAAAAAAGGGAAAACCACCAGTGCTAGTGAGGAAGTGGATAAATCTGAACCCTGGTGCATCCCTGCGAGGAGAGAACGTAAAGGTGCAGCTGCTCTAACCAACAGTTACTGGTTCCTCAGGAAGTTAACGGGACCTACCAGGTCCTGCCAGTCCACTCCTGCGTGTGGACCCAAGATAACTGAAAGGAGGGACTCAAACAGATGCTTGTACGTCATTTAGGTTCATTTAGGTCATTCACGATAGCCAAAAAAAAAAAAAAAAAGGTGGGAACCGCCCAAATGTGCATCGATGCATAAGCGAATAATCAAAACATACAAACGCGCGATGGCGTGGTATCTGGCCGTGGGAACGAGCTCTGGCCATGCTGCCTCGTGACTGCATCTTGAAAGCACGGTGCTAAGTGAGAGATGCCGAAGCCAGACAAAAAAGGGCACAACCTGTGTGATTCTACTCAAAGTGTCCAGAACCGGCGATTCCCTAGACCTAGAAAGTACATCAGTGGCTGCACAGGCAGTGGGGGGTGGGGGGGAGCAGTTGGCACACGCCAGCTAAGGGGATGAAAACGCTTAAAAATTGACAGCTCTGTGAATCCACTGACAGACTCTGAATCATGCATTTTTAAGATTTTACTGATTTACGTGAGAAAGAGCATGAGGGTGGGGGGAGACTCTCAGGCAGACGGTGCTGGGCACGGAGCCCGATGCTGGGCTGGATCCCATGACCTGAGCCAAAATCCAGAGCCGGACCCCTGGGGCGCCTGGGTGGCTAAGTTAGTTAAGCCTCTGACTCCTGATCTCAGGGTCCTGGGATCCAGCCCCACGTTGGGCTCTCCATCGCCGGCACGCACGCTCTCTCTCAAGCAAATAAATAAAATCTTAAAAAAAAAAAAAAAAGGTTGTTATAGGAAACAAGACAAAAACCCAAGAAATTTGCAAACAATTTAAAAGCCTGAAGAAAGATCAAAAGGAGCAGCTTAAAATTCTATCCGTAGTATCTCCCTACACAATACAAGAAGCATAAAATATCAATGAGAAACAGGTTAATTATTCAACAAGCAGTGCTGACAATTCTGGCTGCTTGGGGGAAAAAAACTGTTTCTGTGTTTCACAATATGATGAAGTCCATTTCCGATGGATTAAAAAGGCAAATGTAAACAAGGAAGCCCGGGCAGCCTGGCCTGGCGGGGAGGCTGCCGGTGTGGGCCTCCGCTGGCAGCGTCCTGGGGCGGGGGTGGGGGGTGGTGGTGGTGGTGGTGGTGGTACGGGACGCGGGGCCATCGGGGCCATTGCAAGGTAGCTGCAGAAGGCCGCTTGGGTCCTTCACTGTGGTCCATGCAGTACCGACTGCTGAGGCCATGCTTGATGCTTAAAAGGCACTGATTAAAAGCAGGATTTTCCACCAGTTTGCAAAACTTACTATAGAAACTCGCCGGAAGAACAAGCTGGACTCAGGAGGGTCAAGACGCAGCAGGGGAGGGGGCGCCTGGGTGGCTCCGTGGTTGGCTGTGACCCCGGGGTCCCGGGATCGAGTCCCGCATCGGGCTTCCCACCGGGAGCCTGCTTC